AAGAGGTAGAGATGAGTCTGGCTGCTGAAGAGACATGAGGGTCTCTCCCTCCTTCTGCAACGAGCTCCCCTTCCCTCCTGGATCTCCCAGAACTAGGAGAGGCATGAAGAGGGAGGGCGGAGGAGAAGTTAGCTTCACACAGGCACAATCTCAAGATTGCTTGGGGAAAACCCTGAAGAGGAGAGAACTTAGGCAGCTGTGGGGAGGACCTTCAGTCTCAGCAGCTGCCTCATGGGGGCAAGGCCTGCCGGAGAGGAGTTGCTGTCCTCATGAGGCCTGACACTCATGTGCAGATTGTGTTTTTGCTAATAAAGAGTTAACTCCAACTTGCTCAGTGGGGTTAACTGCTGGCTCACTCCTGTCACAAAATTAGTTAAGAAAAAGATGCATAATTATTTATTATAATAAAGTAATTTTAATAGTTACAATTACTGCAATAATACATCTCTGGTAGGATTTATGGAGTATATTTCAACATGTTCTAAGCCTATAATAATATGACAAATCTGTTAAAAAGTAATAAAATTAAACATTAACAGGGTCAGCACTTCTGTAATAAAAAGGCCGCTATACATTTAAGAAACCAAGTTAATACTTACCAATAAGCTTTGACTCCAGCATATAAAACTTCAGAGGAGGAAGAGGGCCAAACTTGCCAAATCTACATTGTTAACAACTGTTCTGAATAAATGGACTATTTTTCAATCATCACTAATGAAAATTATATGAACTTCTACCTTCACAAATCCCAGACCTCAAAATTTACCTGCTCAAGATAATAAAAAAAAAGCTTTGCTACAAAGTTGACCTTGCACTTGCAATTAACTCATCCGTGGGGTGATGAGAGCTCATGAAGGAAATCAGCCCATTCTCAGGTCCAGTTACTAAAACAAGGTAGATAAGATCACACAGAAGGCAGAGGTGAGTAATGGGAGTGAGACACAGTAGCTACTTGCTGTGGAGTATAAGGAACTGGAGCAAACCTTTGGACTAGTTGCTGTGTTGAGATTCACTGCTAGGCTTGGATACTTCAATGGGAAAGGGGTAAGGTTAAAATAGTACTTTTGCCTGCCAAAATGGTGGCAGGATCCTGGCTTTTAACTAGAACAGCTGGTTTTCTGACCCCAAGGCAACACAAAATTCCACGGCTGTATGTTCCCTGCATTTTTGCGAACCCATTAAATCTTGGTTCAGAAATAGAAATAGGCAAGCTATTTTCACTCATGTGGGTAAAAATTATGGTGTGCACTCGGGGATACTGTTAGCAGTGAGGACTGAGCCTACCCCTTCATCTCCATCACTCCATCCTGCTTTGTTTCTTTCTGGGCAATGCTAGAGTGAAGTGGAATGTTGGGAACTGGTTTGCCTTTTCCAAGCAAGCATGGCCAGTGTATTTGTCAGACACCATTCTAATCCAATAAAATTTGTATATTTAAGGTCAGTCTTCTCCTCCTAAAATTTCTACCTCCTTTTTTCAACAGGAAACCAACGTGCTCGGATTCAAGGGACCCAGGAAAATGTCAGTCATTATTCCAGGAATGAATCTCAATCATCAACGGATTCCAATCAGGCCACGAAATGCAAGTTTCTAATTGGGTCATATTCACACTACAGTGAGAAAATGGAGTTTCAGATTTTAGTGATGATAGGAGCAGTCAACAGGCATGCCTTTGAATAACTGAATATGATGCACTTCAGGACACTTTTCACTTAAAAGAATTCTACTGTTCCCCTTAAGAGTTCTGACAGTGTAGTAGAGGCGTGTGTGTAGCTTATTCTTGAATCCATAATATTCAGCTAGGTTGTCATAGCCTCTGTCGAATCTTGAGTGTTGTTGCCCATCTGCGGAAGAGCACTTCAGCTGAAAGAGGGAGAGTAGCCACAGTATATAAGAGCATGTTCGCAAGTTATATGTTCTGTTTACATGATGCAAGAAAGAGTGATCTTCAGATTTTCTAAACATAAGCTCAGTTGGAGTGGAAGGGTAACAGCCTTGGGAATGGGAAGGAATAAGAAGTCTCCTAGAAGACAGCTACACATTTTGCTTTGTAACTTTTTTCTAGGAGAGTTTAGAACTTGTTTTGAAAAGCTATTTAAATTTATTGAAAATTGAGTTTGTTCTATATTTGAATGAGAAATAGAATGAAAATGTTGCCATTTTCATTCGCATGTGTGCCTGCGGTGGTGAGTAGGAATAAAAAAAAAAATGAAGTCAGGACTGTGAAATTGAAGAGCTATCAGCAGTTTTGCAGACCAAGCCTGATGGAAAGGGGATGGGAAAGGAAACATGAGGTCTTCTTGCTTATTCTGTTGCACAGGAGCATGAGAGTTTGCTGTCAAAATGGCAAAATAAAAACATGGAGAACCTAATTGAATTGCACAACAAAGCTCCAGTATGGAATGATGACACCCAGTCATATGTCTTGAACTTCCATGGGAGAGTCACCCAGGCCTCCGTGAAGAACTTCCAGATCGTCCATGAAAATGACCGTAAGTCTTATGACATTAATAGCTACAGCAGAAGTTGGAGGGCTAGACTCTCAGTCCAGAACATTAGAAGGTTCAGGGCTGGGAATGCATCCAGAATCTTTCACTAAAGATTGCTGGGTTTGATGGAGAGAAGACAAATCCAAGAAGTCACATGTTGCTTTCCAAAATCCTTTTGCTAGCACCACTGCCATGCTGAATAGGTAGATCTCTGCACCTGCGCCCCTCCCCGTCCCTCTAAGCCCCCTTCTCTTGTGTCAATGTTTTTCTTCCAGAAGTCTTACATGCCAAAACAGATGTTGCTCATCCAACTTAAACACTCCTTTCATCCAAGTCTTGCACTTTTAATTGGCTACAAGCCTTTGTTACCCTCATCTGTTGCTTGGTTTGAATACATTTGAATAGAATGGGGAGATGCTGAAATATTAATGGCCCCAATTTTACAGTGATACCTCTGGTTATGAACTTAATTTGTTCCGGAGGTCCGTTCTTAAGCTGAAAGTGTTCTTATCCTGGGGCACGGTTTTGCTAATGGGGCCTCCCGCTGCACACGCACCTCCGGCACACGATTTCCATTCGCATCCTAGAGCAAAGTTCGCAACCGGGAGCAGCTACTTGCGAGTTAGCCTGAAGCATTCGTAACCAGAAGTGTTCATAACCAGAGGTACCACTGAAGTTGTTTTCAATAGAAATCTTAAAAATATATTTTTATATCAACCTGTATTTTATTAAATTGAGCCTCACAAAGGAGCCGAGGGTAGCAAATACAAAGGTAGGGAAACAATACAATTAAAAATAAAGTTTATTTATTTTAAAAAAATGTAAAACAGTCACATACCTTCAGTGCTTTTCAGTATTCAAATGCCATGGTATAGTGTGTTGCTGTCCATTTAAAAAGGGTAGAGTGGGTTTAGTTTGAGGTTTTATATTTTAGGATTTCTATTGAGGTTTTATTCACTAAAGAAGGGAGTATCAATGATCCATGTTGGGGTTATCAGAAATTAGGCTGGGAAAATCCTAGTCTTCCTGCCTTCCAGGCAATAAGACTAGGAATACTGTCCACCTATTTACCCTGGTCCTGCCAAGTCTGCAAAGAAAACGGTGAGGCTACTTTCTGCCTCTTTTCTGACTGAGGGCCCACCCATTCTGGCCTTGAGGCCTAGCAACTGGCTCCACCAGCCCAATATTAGGCTAACTAACCTGGGCAGCACTGGCTTTCTGCAGAGGTACACTGGGGGAGATTCACCCTGTCTTCTCCAGATCTCTCATAGGTAATGGCCAGCTCCATGAGGTTATAATGAGGTGATGGGCATGGTACCAAATTGAAGCATGCAATACCAGTCATTTGTGTACCACCTGCCTGCCCTGCTCCGTTGTCTAGCCCTCAGGATGCCTGATAAGATGTTCTGTCAGCTTTGACATAATGGCCAGGAAGAGGAGGACCGTCATTCTGCTATGAGACAAAAAGGTTCCCTTTGGGCTTAAAAAATATAGGAATGGTGTCTTGAAAATAAGGAAGTGTGGGCCCTAACCAATTGTGAGAAACAATATCTGCCTCAGGGTTTGATATGTGCCAATTGGGCAAATAGCAGGTAGGGAATTGCTACGGATAAATGTGATGATTCCATTCATATGATGCAGCTAGATTATGATTTCTTTCCCTTTCTCTAGTTGACTACATTGTAATGCAATTTGGCCGTGTGGCAGAAGATGTGTTCACCTTAGACTTTAACTATCCCCTGTGCGCCCTTCAGGCATTTGCCGTTGGACTCTCCAGTTTTGATAGCAAACTGGCATGTGAATGACAGACGTAGCGCAACAAGACCGCTTCTTGTTTTTCTTCCTGTGCTAACATCTGAGAAGAAAATTGTACTTGATAATCCTGGGCTGTGTGGGGCAGAAACTAACAGCTAAAATGTCCCCTGTGCTTACCTAGAAGGAAAATGGAGCCCTGATGGCTGACTACATAGAATGCTGTCTTTCTAAGATGTGTTCATTCTTGGAGAAGAATAAGGAAAACGTAATCCTGAGAGGGAGGCTTTTTAGAAAAGAGCCCTGCTCCCACCCTGAGCAGCTGAGCACCACTGTGTCTAGGAATTCCTGTTGTTAGAATCACATTAATGAAACTTTGCTGCCTGTTTTCCTCATGAAATTACTCGTGTCCTTGATGCTAATGCCACTGATACATCTGTGCTCCTGTAACAAGAGATGTCTTGGATGTCTTGCTGCTCTTGCTATTTGACAGTCCTGTTTTCCAGTAAAGTTGGTTGGTTTCCATGTGTTGCTCTGCCGCTTTGCATCTGCTGAAGAGTAATTGTTGTAGAGGTATGTTCTCCAATAAGGTGAAGTTTATTGATCAGCTTGAATAAGGCAAAATTCACCTTGTCAGTGTCTTTCCACAAGGTAATTTTTCGTGAAGAGGTGACTTGACATCCTTGACATGTCATGCTGATACCAGTAATTGACTGATTGACATGCCATGCTAGTTTCAAGAGCCATATAAGGATTTCTAATTTTCTTGTTTCATTCAGTGATAAGCCTTCTTTCTTTTTTTTTCATTATTAATCTGTTTGTTTTTGAGAAATTATTTAAAAAACACAGCACTCCTGTTGGTAGGCAAGGAAAGCATTTTTTGTGTTAAAGGCAATCTTCCTTGTTTCATATGTAACTAAATGTTCAGTTGGGTGAGATGTTTTTTGCTTTTTGGACATATTTGCTTGAATATGATCATTAAAAAGTGATTAAGTGCATGTATATTCTAAGGCAGAAGGAAAGCTGCTATCTCTGCTAGATTAAGCCAAATCTTTATATTCCATGGTTGCCTACAGATTATTGGAACAGATAAGGCCTTAGTGCTTCTTGACCCAAGGAACCTTGATTGCATCTTGGCTCTCAGGGGATCCTTGGGCTGAGCACCTTCTTAACTACAGTTCATAGAATCACAGAATTGTAGAGTTGGAAGGGGCCGAGGGTCATCTAGTCAAACCCTCTGCAATGCAGTTCATTGTGTATCTCATAGAATTTCTTCTGTAAATTGCCTTCAGGTGTTATGCCCTGTATTTCCAAAGAACACTGACAGCTGAATAACCCCTGCTGTCTGAAGCTGCTCCTTCCCTTTCTGGTCACCAATTCTGGACTTTCATAGATTCGTAGAGTTGGAAGGGATGCCAGGAGTCATCTAGTCCAACCCCCCTGCAATGCAGGAATCTCAGCTAAAGCATCCATGACAGATGGCCATCCAACCTCTGCTTGAAAACCTCCAAGGAAGGAGAGTCCACAACCTCCCAAGGGAGACCTTTTAATTAAAATGCAGTTGTGTCTGGTTTGTGTGCCATTAAAATCCCTGTATTAGTAAATACCGTGTTGTCTTCTTTCAAAGCAATGCAGGTTTGCTGAAATGTTTTCTTATAGGTGGAATAAAAACCATTCATCATTATCAATTGTAAATTCCGCACTTTGCTGTAAGTGCACGATTACTCATCACTTAGAAAAAGCTGGTGAGTTGCAATTGCCTTCAAGGAAATGTTGCCACTAATAGCATTGTGCACTTGTGTAGAACTCAAGGAAGGGATGAGAGAGCCATTTCCCAAGAGATCCAGGGCCATGCTCCTCTTTTCCATCTTTATGCATCTTGTTTGTCCTTGGAAGCACAAGACCCTGCAAGATGGCATTGGCGGCATTCTGTGCTGGTGAGTCTAGATTGTTACGTTTCCTCAGATGTTTGACTAGAAGACAGGTCCCTTGGTTGTTTCCCCAACTGTGTCAGCTGTTAAAGAACATCACTTTTTTAAAGGTTTTCACCTTTGTCCATACCACAGCTCAATAATATTTTTCTGGTGCCAGAAATATTTCTTGTCTAGATGCACATGCTCTTGCTACTTGCCTTTAGCCATTTGAATCTTTGGAATACAAACACTACAGACTTAAACTGGCTTTAACAGTCACTTCGTCTCCTCGTGAATTAGTTCTGTGGGTGAAATAGGAAGAATTATTATACAATCAGTAAATAACAAAAATCTTCCTATGATGCATGACAATTAACTAGTATAAAAGTGATACAGGTATGTAGTTTCTGCTGTTTAATTTGGAGCACTTTAAAGTAAGAGACTGTCCCTACCACCACATAAAATGGGGCTGGCTTCATGTGGCCAAACTTGGCTCCTGTTTCTGGCAGTCAGACTTCTCTGACTTAACCCTGTTCTGATTTCATGCTGTAGTTTGCCTATGGAATTAGGCTACAATCCTAATTTTAAACAAAAATTCTGTGTACTTCCTTGCTTGGAAATCTCGTATGCTGGAATTGGCTGACTCGGATTTTAACCCAGCTGTGGATTTTTATTACATTTCTGTTTGAACAAGCAAAAGAATGCAAAGGGTAGGAATTTACACCTTGGTTGTTGTTGCAAATGTAGTGTTATGCTGCACTTTCAGTCCTCCTCTGCCTCCCTACATATACTGTAAATGCTTCTCTGCAAAATCAGTGCAGACTATCAAGAAATAAGGGATCTCTTATTGCTTTGGAACTGTATTTGTTTTGTAGAAGCCTCCACTATGCCTAATCCAAAACTGTATGGTATTGATTATATTTATATTTTTTGTATTCCAATAAAATAATTTATATATTTAAAAATGTGATACTGCTACCAGTATGTTTCTTTTGAATGTTTTGCATTGAGACTTTTGTACTCTGATTACCACTGCATGCACCTATGACACTTGCCCCTGTGATCTTGTTTTCGAAGCCTTCTCGGCCTTCCTAAACAGTTTCTAGCAACATCGAATGGGAGCCCAGTCACTACACAGACTTCTCTAGCAGCTCCCAGGTTTGGAATTCCTCTCTAGTGCAAGATGTCTCCTATAAAGATGCCCCCTGTTATATCCAGCTTTTTATGCTCCCGATGACCCTCAACACCATCATTTTATAGGTCAACTGCCTGACTTACAAGAGGCTCCTTTAGGCCGTGTAGCCCCATTAGTGGGCAGTGTTCTAATAACTGATTTAAAAGACCCTCTTGCATACTATCAGTCCAGGATACCTCAGGGACCACCTGATTCCATATAGGAACCCTGCTTGTGGTGCAGCAGCGCAGTGGCGTAGCGTGGGGGTGCCAGGGGTGCCAGCCGCACTGGGCGCAACATTTGGGGGGGCACGAGTCCAGAGGGAAGGGACAAGCAATCGAGGCTTGGTTGGGGTGGGGGGTCGTCGTCTCCGCCACTGCTTCTGTTTTCCGCTGCGCTGAGGCGAGCTGGGCGCGGCCAGGCATGCAAGCGCAGCGCCTGGCCAAGCGCTGCAGCCTGGGGAGCCGGCGCCTTAGCGCCTCGCCGTCGGCGGCTCGACAACTCGTGGAGGGCGCCTCTCTCTCTCTCTGCCTGGAGGGGAGGGGCTTTCCCTGCTCTTTGTTCCGTTTGAGCAAACACAGCAACGAAACAGAGGAGGGTGGGCAGTAAGACCCTGAGGCAGAATGCAGGAAAGCAACCACTTTCTCTTTTCAGGTTTCCCTTCTCCGGTTTATTGCGAGGGAAATCTAGCTGACTGCAGGGAAGGGGTTGGGTGCATGTAATGTGTGACAAAGGCATCAGGTGTACGTCTTGGGTGGAAAGGGTATAAGGGTGGGGAGGTAGAGTGCATTTAAAAAAACCAAAACATTGTGGATTTAAACAAGGAAAATGTAGCATAATCTACTGTTTGTAAGGGCCCTTTGGGATTGGTTTTACCCATCTCAGACAGTTAGCTCATAGTGTAAATAAAGATGGCTGTTGTTTACATTTTTTTAATAAAAGCATCAACAACGATCCTTTTGCACGGTCTGTTGTGCTGTGTTGCAGAACTTTTTGCAGTTGCAGGATTAGGGATGGTGTTCTGTGCTACAGTGGCGTAGCGTGGGGGGTGCAGGCTGGGCCGGCCACACCGGGCGCAACATCTGGGGGGCCGCGCTCCACGGGTTAGGGGGCGCAAATTACTTGCCTTGCCCCGGGTGCTGACAACCCACGCTACGCCACTGCAGCAGCGATGAAAACGCTAGCACATTTGCAAAGCTAAGCGGGGTCTGGTCTGTTTCAAGTTGATCCTCGCGGCAGCTTCCAGCAGAGATACCTCTGCCAGCATCGGGAAAGAGGAGGCAGGAGTAGCCGCTCGCAGGAGCGCCGTGGCCTCGCTCGCCCGGCGATCGCGGGGCGAGGGGCTCGAAGCAGCGGCCGCCTCTTGGCCCCTCCGGGCGCCCTCCGTCCCCGGCCCGTTCCCTCTCCCGGAGCCCCAGGGCGCCGCGCTCGGGGAGCGGGCGACGCGGGGCGGAGGGCGGCCGCGCGGCCTCGGCCGGCTCCTCCCCGCTCCCTCCCCTGGTTTCCGCTGGCAGGCGAGGCGAGGCGGAGCCGCCGCGAGCGGAGCGCAGCCCTTCCCCGCCGCCGCCCGGGTTCGCTTCCGACGGCGCAGCCAAGACGGTGAGTGCGGCGCGGGCCGTCGCGCGGGGCCGGCGGGCGAGGGCCGGGCAGGCCTGCCTGCAGGGGAAGCCGGGCTCGGCGCAGGAGCCGGACAAAGGGGAGGCGGCCCCGCGCCCTCGAGTCGGGCTGCGGGTCCCGGCGCGGCTGGGAAGGAGGGTCGCTGCTCCGGGAGGGCGGCGAGGCGCCAGGATGCGCGCAGCCGAGGAAGCGGAGGGGCGGAGCGGACCGCCCTGGAGGGGGCGCGCCGGGGAAGGAATGCGCGGCTTCAGCGCCCAGATGGGGCGCAGCGACTACAAGGCCCACCACCCCCGGCCCTCGGGACCAGCGGTGAGGGATGACGGGAGTTGTAGTCGCCGCGCATCTGGGGCCGGAGGGGGAGAAGCGCGGGGCGGAGCTGCATCCGAGGGAGCGAGAGAGCGCCCGGGGCCCGGAGCGAGGCGGCCCGCGAGGGATGGAGAGCGCGCCCGAGGGAAAGACCGAGCAGACGGGCGAGGGACACGGCGCTCCTGGAGCACAACTGCGCCCAAGTTGGAGGTAGGAGGCTGGGCGTCGAGGCGGCTTCAGGGAAGCCTCTCGCCCCCTTTCCCGGGGGGGCTGCACTTGGGCCACAGCTCCGAAACGGAGCGGACCAAGTGGGAAGCAGGCAGGGAGAGAAGCGGACAAGGGGCGTGGAAACCAGCCCGGTAGAGGACCCTGGAAGGCAAGAGCAAAGTTTGCTCTTTGAGATCAAAGAAAAGCGTGGGGATAGGGGCTGTCAAACCTTGAAAATGTGCCCTTGCAATGAATCCCAAAATGTCCTCTTTGAAAAGCTCTTTCCCAAGCCATCCCACTTCCCTGGCACAGAGAGAGAGACCACATATTTGAGAAGTTATAAAATGGCTTACCTACACAGAACTCTTCAAAGGTCAGATTCATGTGCTTTTCCGTGCAGAAGTCAGAAAAGATGCACAGGCAGTCAAAACTTTGCTTAGTTCCAAAAGGTGCAAGTTTCTGAACTATTGGTACAGAAGAACACTTGTTTCAGACTCCGTTCTGGACTGAAACAAAAGCGGCTGGTTAAAGCTATTCTGAGATCTCCTAACATACCAAAATTCACATGAAGAGTGAGAGATAACAAAGGCTTGGTGAGCCGGTGGGAACTGATGGCCAGTGGCGTAGCGTGGGGGGTGCAGGGGGGGCCGGCCGCACCGGGCGCAACATCTGGGGGTTAGGGTTAGGGGGCACAAATCCACGGGTTAGGGGGCGCAAATCCACGGGTTAGGGGCGCAAATCCACGGGTTAGGGGGCGCAAATTACTTGCCTTGCCCCGGGTGCTGACAACCCACGCTACGCCACTGGTGATGGCACAGGCTAAGCCTGGCAGGACAGCTTACACCTTCATACACTAATTAGATTCGAACCTGCTAGGTTTATATGAGGCTGGAACCCTATGCCTGATATACATAGGGTGCTTCCTGGCTAATGCTTCCTGGTTGTTTTGTTCATTTTAATCCCTGTTTACTGCGCTTCACAGGAAGTGCATATTTGAAGGGAAGTCCTTTGGCCTCATAAAGAAAGGGAATGCAAGCAACAACTGATTTAGCCTTGTCCAGTGCTATTTTTCTAGAAAAAGAGGTGCCAGAGCTCACCATGAATGCCTCCCTCGTTCTCTTAGAATGGCAATGGCGCCCACCTGAGAGGTGCCGGAACTGAGTTCTGCTGAATTCTGGCTGGGAAAAAGCCCTGTGCTTGTCCACGTGTGTGCGTAACCACACATGAGCACATCTGCCTGAACCTGGAAGTGACCTGAAAAGTCACAGGAAGGGGCAGAACAGAGCCTCGTGCCCCACCGATGCTCACGGGGGTCTGGAACGTAACCCCCATGCAAATTGGTTGCTGCCTGTATGGACTTCGTGTTCCTCTCCTGCGGGAGTTCAGAGAAGTGTATGAACCTCAATAACATGTTGGTTATGGAAAGCGGCATAAAATCAAGTGTATTCTTTTAATGCTTGTTGAATTCAGGTGAACGATAGAAATGCGCAGTCAACCATTCTGTATCAGAATGTAGCTTTGCAACACCTGGGAGAAATCTGCGAGTAAAATAGCAGAACTAGTGAGATAGATGAGGGCTCACCACACAGTTACAATGAATTATCTTTGTCTACAAACAAACAGTGTTTGGTCAATGTTAATAATAGGCTCCTAAACATGCAAGGATATTTTCTGCCTTAAAGGTTAGAAAGGTAGATTGCCAAGGGACATTCATTTTCGAGCAATTTGCCCAGGAGAATGAAGAAATTCTCGATAAAAAGGCACGGGACAGAAATGTAATAAATAGACTATTCACAGGTCTTTATTTTTAAATAAACGTACCACATATATTCTAATAATGCCCAGCATATATTCTATCTAGAAAAGCATGACTGTATTTATAAATAAATTTTCCTCATGGGTGTTTGTACTAACTAATTGTCTCAGGGAAAAAGAAATATGTGCAAATTATGAGTGATCTCGTTCTTAGTGCTTTAAATGCTGCAAACTTTTTGCCCCATTGTCCACCTAGGAAAATGGCCGAATTCATTCCATATATACTGTTGGGATAGAGACTCTCACAACTTGTAACTCTTCCTATGGCCCCAATTCACCCTGTGTTGTTTTCAAATCCTTCCAGGGTCTGAGATAAGTCTCATAGTATTAATTAAATACTAAACAGTCTTGGAAACGTTAAGAAATGTTTCCAGTCAGTCAACATGCCCTAGTCTCCCTCTTGATTCATATATGAACTTGGAAAACACAGGCTGCGGTTTTAGACCCACTTGCTCAGCTGGATTTTTCTTCTGTGTAGACATGCGTGTGATGGTGCTATTAGCTGTTCTAAACAGTTGTAAGTAACCCCAAAGTGGAAAATATTGGGGGATTAAATGAGGAGCAGGAGAACTATGTAAGCCACCTTGAGCTCCATGGAGAAAAATGTGAGATATAATGCCATGGTACAATTTTAATTGGGTTTCCCCCCCAACTGTGATACACAAAGGCACATAAAGAAATTCATAACCATGGTTGAGAGAAGAGCCTTTAATTGCTAGCCCTTCACTGATTTTAACTGGTCAAAAGCCAAATAAAAACAATATTTCCCCCCCATGTTGATACCTCTTTACAAGAGAACCATACAAGGGTTTGCAGGTGAACAGTCCTATCTCTCAGCCCTCCCACTTGAAGCAGCAGGGGTTGCTAGAACTTGGACTATAACTGTATTGGAGCATGTGAGGGAATAGATGGGTCCTCCTTTATTCACCAAGTAACTATAAGAAGTCTTGCATAGCTCTCCAACTATGCAAAATTGTTTTTCTCAACTGTTTTGTTTTAAGGCAGCTGCATATTCTGCAACCAGGGCTGTCTTAAGCATATGCGGCACTGGGGTGCAAAGATTCGCCCAGCGCGTCCCGGTTGCCCAGTCCCTGGCGTGCAGGAGCTAGCCTGCCACCTCAGCGTCTCGCTGGCTCGGTTGCCCCCGAACTCGCGGCGCAGAGTCGCCTGCAGCAGAAGAGCCTGCCGTGGCGCTCCGACCAATGGGCGGGCTCTTCCCCAGACTCAACTCTTGGGCCCCAGACTCTCGGCCTGGCGCCCCTGAGAGCCCAGCACCCGGATACCCCACACCCCTAGTGCCTATGGGTAAGATGGCCCTGTCTGCAACCAATACACACAGCCAGTTCAAGTTCATTTCACAACTTTATCCAGTCTCAGGACAAGGAAAAAAATTTGAGGGAGAAATGAGGTGCTTCCAAACACAGATTACATTCACACAATGCTGATAACCTGATGATGCAGAGTTTTCTTACGATATTAAATGCATAGTTTGCTATCGCATGTTATCTTTTTACAATTGCATACCCTCCAATATCCCAGTGATAAACTGCAGGGCGCGAGCCCAACATCTCCCCCATCAAATTTTCCCCTTGAAGGGGCAGCTTTGTGTTTTTCTCTCAGACACACACATACACACTCCGCCAGCCCATTTTCTCCCTTTCCCTCTACACCTACATTTGCAAGATTGCTAACCCCTGCGCCAAGTCCCCTTTGCCAGCACTACCCGCCTTATCACCCACTCCCCTTTGCCAGCTGCCAAGGACCCCCTTGGCTCCAGCCCTGTCTACCTCCTACATTCCTTTTTAAAAAGGATTTTTTTAAAAAAGGGGGGAAAAGGTGCTTTGAGCTACTACAGGCTTTTTCCGGTGCATTCCTATACATGCCTACTGAAGTCCTGCTGTGCTCTCTGTATGACCTGTTTTGCTATGGCTGGTTAAAACTCTCCAAATATCACAAATTGCAAAAAGAACAAAATGAATTCTCTACACAAAGTTGTTCACAAATTGATAAAGATACAGGTTTGGGCAAACTACCCCCTCTAATTGTGTAAAAGAGGTTTGATTTGGTTTCTACATTTGTTAGAGTGAAACTGCAGCCACACCTCTTCTCAACTGCTTTTCCACTTGATTCCTTTTGTGCACAGCATTTATTCCCTCTTCAGATAAATCCCCCATCTTGTCTTCATTTGCTTTACAAAGCAAGGTGTCAACAATCCTCAGTGGAAAGAAAGCCCTTGTCCCCATAGATCGGCTGGCACCAGATGACCAGCCAGATGGTGGAGGTGTCAGTTGCCAAATCTGGCGACAATTAACAATTGCTATTAAAAACGTTATATTAAAAATGTGTCACTGATATGAATTGTGTATTGGCTCATGTGATTTGGGAGGGGGGAAGATTACGATCATTGGTAAAATGTGCGACTGAATTGTTAAATGTATTAGCGTTAATGATACACACAATTCGTTTTTTGCTTTGTACTCTTGGGGGCTGGGAGGCACCTGGTGTGGCTGTAACAGTATGTTTCTGTATCTACAAATGGCTTCATATCTGCCTGTTGTCATCCAATGCTCCTTCCCTCCAGCTTTTCCCTCAGTTAAATCATCCTTTGTCTTAGAAGCCCCCTGCCCCTGGGAAGTCCTTTCCCGTTCTTGTGTGTCCTCAGACGCCATACTGTTCTCCTTGGAATTCTCCAGGAGATTGCTCCACACTTCTGTCCCAAGCTTACTCAGCCTCACAACTGCCTCCACTTGGATATCTTCCGTCTTAAATAAATACAGTGGTGCCTCGCAAGACGAAATTAATTCGTTCTGCGAGTTTTTTCGTCTTGCAAATTTTTCGTCTTGCGAAGCATGGTTTCCCATAGGGTATTAACGGTTTTAAGAAAAAGGAAACAAACTTGCAAGACGTTTTCGTTTTTCGTCTTGCGAAGCAAGCCCATAGGGAAATTCGTCTTGCGAAGCAACTCAAAAAACGAAAAACTCTTTCGTCTTGCGTGTTTTTCGTCTTGCGAGGCATTCGTCTTGCGAGGTACCACTGTACAAGCTTCGTGTTTTTGATTCGAGGGAAACTTTTCTGTTTTAAATCCCATTGCTGAGGGGCAGATCCCAAGGGCAGACTATGAAGCCTACCTTCAGTTACCGCCAACATAGTCTTAGTTTCTTTTGTGGAAGCCAGTCAACATTTTGTAATCCTTTGGGCTGGTAAAATTAAAATTTGACTCTTGATTCTTCATTGCAGGGGGTTGGACTAGATCACGCTTGGGGTCCCTTCCAACTCTACAGGTCCTATGATTCTATGATTCACATGACTTGTGACCATTAATCCATTTCACTATTTGGACATCTTTCTCGTGGTGCTTTTAGCCGCCTTGTTTTACGTGCAACGGAAGCGGTACTGAAGCCCCACATGGAATCATACAGGCAGTACAGGAGCGCAGTGTCAATCCGAGCTCTTGAAGCTAGCAGCCTGCCAACAAGTTGTTACTTGGAGGTGATGCAACTAAAAACACGCTTTCTAGCACTGAAATATATCACACCAAGGCTGTGTTTGCCAGGCACTGCATTGACAAT